TCTCGTGTTTATAGTGCAGAAGCCAGAGGAAAATTCAGACTTTTGAGTCAGATGGGCCTGAGCCCAATCCCGGCTCCACGGTGTGAACTTGGGCTGGTCACTTAACCAAGTCCTGTTTCTGGAATGATAGGGTAATGCCACAATGACCTTGGGCTGTATGGGGATGTAATGGAGAGAAAACATAAACTGTCCAGTGAGCCTGGCTGGACATTTCCTAGGCTGAATAAAAATAAAAGTGTAGGGTCTTTGTTCCAAACTTATGAAGAACTTCATGTAATATTCATTCATTCCTAAAGAGAGGCCACAGAGGCAACTACAGTAAAACATAATCAAAATGGGGATTTATTTAGACAAGTTGTAATAGTAAAACACCAAACCAAACACAGATCCCTTAAAACATGGGACCCTGTGAAACTGCAAAGATTGCCCCTGCAAAACTAGCCTCGCTGCCCAGCCTAGTGTCACACACACTAAAGCTCTGGCAAATGAGTGTCTTTGTTTCTCTTTCCCTCTCATTAAAAATCTGATGTAATGAAATGAGACAGATTGTAGCTATTGGCTGAACAAAGGGATTCTGAGCAGTGGAATTTCTGGTAATGCTAACCATTCAGGCTAATTATCCAGTTTGTGAATTATTTAGATATTTCGCCGGTCTCTCTTTTAGTCCTCTGACCACTGATAATTCAAAAATAGACCCTTCCATCCCCTGTTTGCCTCTCATACCTTTATAAATAACCACTGAAACAAAAAGTTACATATTTGGGCTTTTAAAATCCCTTACTGTCTGTAACCCCAACGTCCTGTTCATTCAATATGCATTTTTGATGTGCAAAGGCCCTGCAGTTTAGGCAGATAAAAAGGACAGTCCCCGAGACAAAGACCTGGTACTAGCCAAGACTCTTGGTTGCAAGGTGAAACCCAATTCAGGTCATTTACACAAAAAAAGAGAATTTATTGTCTCATCTGATTATGAAGTCCTAAGGTCCAGCTCACGTATAGTCAGACCCAGAAATACAAATACTATGATCAGTCCTTCACAATTTCTATACCATAAATAGGATGCCAAGATTAGCAACAAGATTTTCACAAGGCAACTGCTCAGATCTACAAGGGATGAGAAAGCAAATGCCCAATTGAAAGAGAAGTCCAAACAATTTATAGCAGAGGTCCGTCCACTACCTGTTTGAAAGAAAAAAACTTGTGAATTAAGACCTTGTAAAATATACATTTCAGAAATTCCCTGTTGCTTCCAACAAATATTCCAAGGCTGTGAAAGGGGAGAAGCGACTGCCCTTCATTATTGCTGCTCCAATACTGCTTAAACAGTGAATGCTGCAGTAAAGAGAACACCCAACCAGAAGTTAGAAGACCTTGGTTCCAGTCAGCTCTGCCACCCTCAGGCCATGGGCAAATGATTCAACATTCTCTTCCTGTAAAACATAGGTGAGGTATTCAATGGGATGAGTTCTTAGATGCAGCAGAACTCCCACATAGTTATGATGAATAAGTGTTTATAGAAGCCATAACACTAATGACATATTTTTTAACACCATTCAGTTTATACAGCATTTGTGTGCAAGGCTCATTTGATCCCCACAGTAATTCTGTGAATTCGTGAATTGTATAGCCTGTCAAATGTGCTCCCTAGCTAGAGTTGCACTGTGACCTGGGTGAGGACACAGTTAAAAGATGGTAGAGGTGCCCCCACAACTGGTCTTCGGTCCACACCTATCTCCCCCTGCTGCAAGCTGTCTCCATCTATGAGTGAAATATATCGCCCATCTTCAACATTGGGTTCAAGTTTTCATGTGTATTGTAAATACTATCTTTTGATGTACACCTTGAGAGATGTCAGTTATCACGATAGGTCATCTAGTCTTCTATGAGTTTCCTGGTTTCTAAATAAACCTGGATCTGAAATTTAAGGCTGAAATGTTAGCTTTTGCTCCATAATAAGCAGTCTCTTCTTCTCCCTTCTCCCAGCCTTGGAATATTTGTTGGAAGGAACAGGGAATTTCAGAAATGTATATTTTACAAGGTTTTAATTCACAAGTTTTTTTTTTCTTTTAAAATTTCAAAACTGGGTGATTCCCATTTAAAAGTTACCTGTGACTCCAGGGCCAAAGCAGGAGAGTACAGAGAGCTGAGAACATCTGTGGTACCAGAAAATTGGGATGTACCCAGACAATGATAAGAGCTTTTGAAGGAGCATAAAAACTAGCCTAAGAGATCTTCTAATGGCTAAAGCAGGAACAATTTGAGCCACAAAAAATGAGATAAAATGAAATGCTAAAATAATTATAGCATTGGATTACAATCCATAAAATATAATGAGTATCCTTAATATTAACTCAGTCATTTATCTTAATATTTATAGTAACAATGGAAGAGAAAAGACTGTTCTTCCTTTGAGTAGAATTTCATTTAACAAGTGCAAGCAGAAAGAAATAAGAAACTAATGGCAACAATAGCAATTTCCACAATAATAATTTTTGCAGTCCTGAGACACTTATAGATGTTAAAATTTGTGGGTAAAAGTTAGAAGAAAAACAGAATTTGCTTAGTATTAGAGTACCTCTCCCCCAAAATTTATTAACTATAAAGGAACAAATAGTATCATTACAGTAGAGGAAACCTGCAAGCATTATCTTAATCAAGTCACCAAGGTCAACACTGTATGTAAGAAGCCAGAGAGACAGGAGGACCCCAGTGACATAATGCACTGAGAAAGACACAACATCATTTATGTGACATTCTCATGCAAATATGCAGAACCTCATTGCAGTCATGACATAGAATCAGAAGAACACAACTTGAGGAATAATTTACTTAGCTTATCAGTAATTATCAGTAATGGTCAAAAGTGTTGAGGTCAGGTCAGGGATTTAGCTCAGTGGTTCCGCTGCCTGCCTCACAAGCACAAGGTCCCGAGTTTGATCCCCAGTACCAAAAAAAAAAATGTTGAGGTCATAAAGACTAAGGAACCATTGCACCTTGAAGGAATGCTGGTTATATTCTGAGTAGAATTACAATGAATCCATGTATCAGTCCTGGTAATATGGCCGTTTTAACAAGACTGTTTCTGCCTATCCAGGACCAAGGAATGTCTTTCCATCTCTGTTTTTCTTTTTTGATCTCCTTTTTCAGAGTGCTATACTTTTCACTATAGAGAAATTTCACATCCTTTAAATTTTTTAAGGTATTCTAGATGGGATGTTTGCCTTACCTCTTTCTCAGTGGGTTCATGTTGGTGTACAGCAACGCTACTGGGTTTTCACTGTACTACTTTTTGATCATATCATGTCATTATATAGGATGTTAACTTTAGGACACAGATGAGTACTATATTTATACTCTACACTATATTTGCAACTTTAAAATTAGTTCAAAATTAGTAATTTTTAAACACCTCCCAAACCATTTTGAAAAGTTTTCTGAGCTGCTCAGAATCTAAGCTAATGTGCCCAAAAGATCAAGTAATTCTCCATCCTGGTTCTCCCTCCAAAGGGAGTCTTTCTAGAGAGTGAGATCCATGAGACCCAAAAACCACATTTTGACCTTGCCAGTTTTCTGACAATGCAACTATTGGAAACTGTTCTTTATTCTGGACACCCATCAATTTCAAATGCTGTATGAACTTAATGATTCCTTGGAGATGGTGTAAGCACTATCTTACACTAACTTCAAAAAGAGTGAACCAAATGACTCCAAAGATATTCAGCAACAAAAACATCTTAATTATGGCCACATTTATCTTAATTCCTTTCACACAACTGTGAGAGCAAAGCAAGGAGATTCCTCTGCAATAAACTCTCCTTAGTTCCTGCCTCCAACTGTGTACACCCAGCAATTACATTGTTGTTAGTTTCTATTCTCCTCCTTCATGGGTGGAGAGCACATGTTTTTACTTAATGTTTTCTGCATCTTTTGGGGGTTGTTGGTTTTTCTCAAAAATACACAAATCTAAGTCCATTGTGCATTTCCTGAGGGTGTGAACTGGCAGCAAACTTCAGTTCCAAGCCACATACACAACTGACAATTTTATGACACTACTCAATCTCACACAAAGCCACATAATTGCAGAACTGAATGCCACTGCCTAGAATTGAATCAACTCCCTCCCTGTGGCTGAAGAGTTTTACTTCGGAAATGAAACATGTTTCTGCTTATCATCCAAAGACCTCTGCTATTCCTGGGAACATGAGAAGTGGAGAAAGGCCCCTTCCTAAATTTCCACTGACCTCCTGTCTTAATCAACCAATGTTAATGGATTAATTTTATCCTTCTTTGGGGTGTTTGCTTTAAGAAAAGTGCAAGAGTTGATCCCTGGCCTCAAAAAGCATGCAGTCTGGTATGAAGTTAAATGGCCAATTTTAAACAGTTAAATCCTATACAAACAGATAATGGATAGATAGATAGATAGATAGATAGATAGATAGATAGATAGATAGATAGACAGGCAGATAGATAGACAGACAGATAGACAGACACATACATATCCTTGAAAATCCCTACAATGAATGTAATTATTAATTGCAGACACATACTAAGAAAAAAAGAATATTCCTCATATGAAATAAATAAATCCTCAATAAGAGCTCATTATGTAATATTCAGGACAACTAAAATTCAGGGAAACAAGAGCTAAATACTCAGAAAAATTCCAAGCAGGAGGAAGATATTTTGCCTATTCAGACAATAAACATATACAAGATTCATTCTCTGTGTCATTCACTGTTCTAAGTATCTCAGCAGAAATATATAGTGAAAACAAAATCAAATAAGTTCACTTCAGCTAGTAGGAAATACATTAAGAAATATGAAATTAAAATGCAAAATAAATTAAGATTGATAGGATGAATTTAGCTTATTTGAAAAATTAAATGTCCAGCCAAGCAAATTATATGTCACTGCGATTTATATTCAGCCTTGCAGAACCCTTTCTTAGGATTCCAAATCTCAAAAGCTTTAAATCTTAAAGTTTCTACATCTTGTTTCAGCACTGCACAGGAAGACCTGCACCCAGTTAGACTCCAGGAGACCTCAGAAGAAACTGTGCCAAAGATGAAAAACACCATTTTTCATGGATTGTAAACCACCTTGTCACTTTCTTTATAATTAAGTCTAAACCTATTCATTCAAGAGTCACCAGTATTGATCATATGCCTTCTACCATATTTCTACTCTCAGTACCTAGGACAGTGCTTGATGCACAGGAAATTTTCAACACTGTTTGTTAAACCAAGCTGTTACATAGAGCTTTAGTCTTAGCTACATTTAAAATGATATAGGATATGAAAATGTAACAAGGGTGCTTCTTTTACCTAGCTTTTATGTATTTATGGATCCATCCATTAACTTGGCAAAGAGCTTTAAAAATAGAAAGTATAACCCAGAGACAAATTCTTGTGTCATTATTATTCATAGAAGTTGGAAGGCAATACATCTGGCCACCAAGGCAGTTAATGAAAGTGTCCACTGCCGAGAAAATGATCTAAGGACATTCAGTAAAATCCAAGTTGCAATTTATGGTATCAATTAACATCCTAAAGAATGATCGTTAAAGCGAGCCTTACTTGGAGGAAGAAATTGCTCATCCTTTGTGGTTTAGTTAGAGGACTCCCTCACTGGAGACACTCCTTTAAACAGACTGCTGTGGTGCTGCACATTTATCACTGGTGAACTATCTGTGAAGCTAAGGTGCAGAATCCTTCAAGAGTAAGATGGAAGTTAGCCAAGTGGGCCAGATGAGCTGCACCCATATAGATAGCAAAGTCTTTCCTTCCCCCATTGTACAAAGCAGCTTCTCCTCAAGGCTTCTCATCTTAGAAAGTAATGTTTTATATCTGTTTGCTTATGCGAAAACCCTAAACACTATTCATGATTCTTAATCTAATTGTCTACAAAATATATCTCAAATCCATTCTTTCTTTCTATCTCAGTGCCACGATCCTACTTCAGATCACTATCATGTAGGCTGAGCCCGTCTCCTTCAGTGGGGATCAGCAAAAGTGACACATTTGGTCGATGACATGTGAAAGAAAATATACTGAGCTCCTTAGAGGAAGGTTCCTACATCTCAGCAACAGACATTTAAGAGATGGCATGATTTCAGCTGGACTTTGTCATTTCTGGATGTGACACTTGGAATCTAAATATCTAGCTATCTTTCTCTATGAGAAAAGTAAGCTGGAGAACAAAGTTAACATTCCAACACAAAGCAGAACATGGACAGAAAGAGCTGGAGTCCTAATGATATTGATGAGCCACTGGTTAACTATGCCCAGAGCTACTCTACACATGACTTCTTAACAAAAATAATAATAAAGGTACTTTTCATCTAAGTAGACTTTTGGTAGAGAATGTCAGACACTTGTATTCAGACTGATTCAGTGTCAGAAGGCTCTTCTCTTGTATTTTTGGCCCTCTCCAAACTGCTCTTTATGCAGGCACCAGAGTGATCTTTTCAAAGCCTTCTTATGGAATTATCCTTACAAACTCAGTGACTTCATTTTTCACTTCTAAAACTCAAAGTTCTTTAACATTGTCTTCCAAACTGTATCATCTATCTGATGCTCCGTATCACATTACCCTCAAAATATAGAACTTAAAAAAAATCATTTATTATCTCACAGTTCTTAGGGTGAAGAATGCAGGAGTGACTCAGGTAGGTAGTTTTGGCTGCAGTTCTGTCATGAGGCTGTGGTGAAGATTTTGACTGGGGCTGGAGGATCTGTTTCCAACATGGTGTCTTCATATGGTGGTTGAAGGAAAGGCTTAGCTAAGCCACACTCTTCCTATGGTTTCTGTGATGTCTTTGTAACAGAGCAATGGCTCCTGCTAGAGCAACTGATCCAGAAGAGAGCAAAAAGAAGCCTCAGCTCATTTTGTGTCCTAACTTTGAACGTCATACAGCACCAGGTCTATCACATCCTAATCATGTACAGATACACTCTTAAAGAAGAGGGTTTAGGATTTGCCTTTTAAAGCAATCAACACTAAAGTGAATTACATGCTTTGCATGACCTAGCCCATGCCTACCTTTTTGGCTCCTCTAACCCCATTTTTCTCTTGGATAAGCCCTGCCTCAGCTCACAGGTTCCCCTGAGTTCAGCCATATCAATGACTTCCCACTCCTCACCCCTTGAGACTTTTGACAAGCTGTTCCCTGTGTTTACAGTGTCATCCTCAGTCCTTTGCCTATCTGAACACTTCTCAATCTCTAGATTCATTTCAAATGTCACTTCCTAAGAGAGGCCTGTCCAGACCACCCCGACTAAGACTGTTCTTCTCTTTCATCACCTCTTAATACTTTTTCTCATACCATTTGCCACCATTTCAATATTTAATTTACTTATGACTTCACTTTTGCAAGATGCAAAGGAAAGGAGGGTACATTTACTCACCACAGCATCTGCAGAACCTAGAAAAGGATTTAGCATAGGCAGGTTCTCAACAAATCCTACTGAGTGAATGAACGAACAGTGAAAGATGCCATCCCAGAGCACAAATGAAGAGGCATGGGTTGTACACTGGGTATATAGATTCATCACACAACATCTCTAGGAGGATTTCCTTCACCACTGTGAGTAGAAGTGGGGTCTACAGAAGTGGAATCATGCTCTGAAGCGAAAAGCATAGTCAGGTGGGAAGAAGCTGGAAGTGGGTCTCACCAGTCAGTGACACTAAGTGCTGAGCTATGAATCCTTTGAGAGCTCATTCTCATGATCAGAAACACAGAAACACCCTCAAGATGGGTTTCTGACATGGCAGGGCTTCTGCCTGCTCGACTGGAAGCAATACTTCTGCCTCCACTGGGAAACTATGACTCCACACAATGTAGCAGGACAGGGGCAGAAACAGACAAGTGGTGGCATTCTGCCACTAGACTAAGGGTCAAAGTGGAAGGGCAGTGTGAGGAGGGCTAAAGGAACAGTACATTCTGGGGGCAGGGGTTGCCTTTCATGAAGTGCTTTTGGCAAGAGGGGATCTACAGACTTCTTCAAAGATCAAGGGCTCCATTATCTTCCCAAGTGTGAGAGGAGCTGATATTTTTCCTGCTTCCCACAGCACTACTTTATGAAAACATCTTCAGATTCAGAAACCTGGTAGGGAGCAGCATGGATCAACTCAACCTCCTCTGCTTGAGCGTAAGGGGATTCTCAGCCCCAGACACACAGAAAGGACCAAGGTGGTCCATGCTTTTGTTTCCATAGGCAAACGCCTGCTGGCCAGGAGAGATTGCTTCTCACTCCAGGCTGGCAAGGGGTCAAAGGCCAGTGTGGAGCTAGGTAAAGAACTTACAGTTGCAACACTCAGAAGAAAGCACACTTTTGAAAAGAATTTACAAGTGTATTTTAAAATAGAAGAATATTTCTATTCTTCTGGTGGCACATGCATAATATCAGCACTCTGGGAGACTGAGGCAAGAAAATTGCAGATTCAAGTCCAGCCTGGACAATTTAGTGATTTTGTAAGTCTCATCTCGAAATAAAAATTTCGAAGAGGTCTGGGAAAGTAGCTCAGTGTGAAGACTCTGGGTTCAATGCCCTAGACCAACAAAAAGAGAGAGACAAAGAAGAGAAAGAATATGAGTGGGGAGAGGATGGTGAGGGGGTAAAGGGGAGGAGGGGGTGAAGAAGAAGGAGGAGGAGGAGAAATGGGAAAAAAGAAGAAGGGGAGGGGAGGGATGGAGGAGCAGGAGGGGAAGAGGAAGACAAAGAGGAGGAAGCAGGAAGAGGAGGTATGTGCTAAATCAAACTGAAGACATTGGATCTTCAAGGGGTCCCAGTTATGATATTAATCACCAGAATGCATCGTGTCCTAGGTTGTTAGAGCTAAAGACATGCCAGACTTTGGAAAGGGAGGCAAAGATGAGGATTAAAAAACAGATGGTTCCAGAGCCCACTGCCCCCAACAGTGTCTCTTTTTTAAGTAAATACTTTATGATGTTCTCCTTATTAACATGACTTTCATAGTTTCCATGACATAAATACACATGTAATTTCAAAAATGCAAGTCGATATAATGCTGGAGCTATAATATAAAGAGAAAAATTTAAATTACATGATTTGTAATATAATAGTCTGTATTTCAATGTCAGTGCTACTACATGTACTCTCAAGATGCAGTGAATAACCAGAGGCTGATACATGATTATTATGAATATTGAAATGTGGTTATAGTTGGTTCCCATTATCACCGGCCAATACCATAGGAGGTCCTACATCAGTGTGACCAATAGCACATGCCTTGTTAAGGACCCCCGAGAAGAACAGAGTCTTCTATTATGATACATGGTTTATTATCATGAGACTGAGCTGTCAAAGGATTCATACCTCATCCTTAGAAAACCACTAAGTATAGGTTCTATGTTGGGTGCTAAATATGGGTCAAATGGTAATCCCAGATTTAGATATCCATTTAAAGTAAAAAGTGATCAGCATGATTAAAACCAGACAATCTTCTATTGTGCCTCCAAAGTGGCCAACCTCCCTAATATCATGAAACCGACCCTCAATAAATATATTCCCACTGCATCCTCACCTTTGTAGACCTCCTTCTAAGCCGTTTCACCTTATACCACTTGTCTCTACCTTCCCAGGTTCCTAAACTCTGATTTAGCTCTAGCTTCCAGCCTCACGCTTGTCCCTTGGTGTTCCTTCATCACTACCCTGTGCTCCACTGCATGGAATGGTCTTGGGTCCAGCCACCCTCAGTTATAAGTCATCCTGGTTCAGTCTTCTCACTAAGAGCCTGGAGCAGGGCCTGCAACCCAAGCAAGTGTATAATAAGCAGGCCAACTGTTGCTGAGAGTATTTCAGTTTAAAGATAGGATATCCATCCTTATGGGAACATGGACCTAATAGGGAAATCATGCAGAAAGTGTCTTCCCAGAGAATTGATGTACCAAGAGAGACTGGGGCCAGGGTCTGCTGTCTCCCCACTTAACCATTCACCTGAATACACAGCAGGACTGACTCTGAGGGCTTGAACTTGTGCTGATCCTACTGGTTAAAGTCAATGACTTCCAACCATGAGGATTGGACAAAAGCCTGCAGCAAGATTAAGGTGAGAGGGATTTCAGGACCTAGCAACAGCTAAGCCTGCAAATGGAAGAAGCAATGAGTACTCGGAGTAGGAGCTAGCAGGGTAAGGAGGATTCAAAAGTAAGGCCTACAGCAGGGAAACTCTCATAACCAGGAAGACTAGGTAGGGGGTTCCTATGGAAGAGCAAAGGCTCAGGCCTGGGTCTAAACACCAGTGGTGGCTCTGGGAAGCCATGGCTTGGATGTTGGGAGGTGGCAGAAGGGGAGATGGTCTTCTCTGGGTAAAGTTTCTCTCTATTCCTATCACACTCTCACTCCACAGACCAGATATTTCAAACTCAGTTCTTAGGAGACAGAAACCAAAGCACCACTCCGTGGTGGGACCATGAACTTTTCTTAATCACATGACCTTACTACTAATTACCCATTTCTGTGATATAAAATGCATTTGCCAGCTCCCTTCACTAACTTCAGAAGATATTTTATATAAAGGGAAATCAATTTAAAATTCTCATTTCTGTTGTCTTCAGTTTTAAATAAGAAAGAGTAATTTGATGTTTTTAATGAATAGTTATTAGCTCTCTTTAGTTATCCAAAATATTTTTTTTAAATGTGGTTTTAGTGTCTTTGAGTATCAGGAAGTTAAACTCCAGGGAGAAATCTACTTCCAAAAAGTAGAAATAAGAAATAGATTCAGAAAGTATTAGGATTTGCTTGCTCTTCTATATAAATGTGTACAAAAGGACGCAAACATGTAAGAATATGCATGTTTGCAGAAGATGAAGAGTCTTCCTGCCTAGCACTATGCTTGAAATTCATGAATTTCCCACAAATGTGTGTGTAATTATTCTGTTTTTTCAATGTCTGTTTTTAAACTTCAGTCTTCAAACGCCTGTTTGCTTTAGATTCTTGGCATATAATTATTGCACGCTCTACCAGATGACTGTGGTGGTGGCAGTTGGACAGGACAGGTTTGGGACAATAAAGTGTTAAAGGCCTTTCTACACGTTAGAATATTTATTGCTCACATCATCTTTCATGCAACAATAACGATATGGTAAAGGGAAGGTCTGCCCAGAATTTAGTGCTGTCCTGTCTGGAGCCTGGAAATAGCCACATCTTACCCTTCCAAGAAGCCCACTCCCCGTGAACCCCTCTTATTGTACCCCTTTCAATTAGCCCATGACCCCAAGACGCCTCCCTCCTATCATTCTGGTTCTGGACTGCCCCTCACCCAACATTAGCCATTTTCTTTCTTCTTTGTAATGTTTTGGCGGTTCTGGAGATCCGACTCAGGACCTTGAGCTTGCAAGGCAGGCAGTAGAACCACTAAATCCCCAGCCTCAGCCATTTTCTCTTAAAGGCTCACCCCCAATACCCCCATCACACTACCAGCTCATCACCCTCCTCTCCCAAGTCCTTCATCCCTGCTTTGTATCTTTCTCTATATCACCAGCCCTCCTCTCAAAAAGGGACTCCCTTCTTGTCCACACTTTCTTCACCAACCCCCATCCAACATCCTCCCATCCCTCCTCACTGTCTTCCCCTACACCAACAACACTCCTTTCTCTTTTTTTTGGTACCGAGGATTGAACTCGGGTCCTTGCGTTTGCAAGGCAGGCCACCAAAGCGCTGAGCTAAATCATCGGCCCCCAACCCTCCTTTCTTTTGGGTCTCCTCCCTCCATCTCCTTCATGCCAGCCCTTCCTTATCATCCTCCCTCTGTGCAGAGCACCTGAGCTGCCTACACATAAAAAGAGCCATGGCAGGGTGAGGATTCAGGACCTCTTCGTTGTCATAGCAAAGTCTCCTTGCAAAATCTGAACCAGAAAGTCTGAAAGAGGCAGCTGAGCATGAAGACCAAATGGGATCCTCACCCCTAGAAACTTATCTTCTAGCCAACCATGTGGCAGAAAGTGAAAGGATGAAAATCTAGAGTTCAGATATTGGTAGAGATGCTATACCCGGGTGCATCCACTGAGCCACACAGGGGTGAACAGTGGCTGAGGGATAAGGCTGACGGGTCTCTGGCTCCCATGATAATTCCAGAGAATATGCACATAGATTGAAGCACTGTTTCTCAAATACTTCCAGTGGTTCTAATCCCAGAGTGCTCCTTGGAAATGGATTCTCTGGTTCTGGGATGAAAACCGGTATTTAAACTACTTTTAGCAAATATACCAGGTGATCCTGCAAGAACCTTTGAAGAAAGACTGATTCTGAGTATAATTTGGCATATGTTTTACTGATCTTTAATGTCCAGCCTTGGTTAGAATTGATCTAAATTAATTGAGTTCTCAGACTCTGTCCTGGGGTGGAGGAAAAGCAACCAGCAATGGTTTTATTTGTTGTTAATAAAATCTTCTGAATGGCTTTCTTTTTCACCGTCTATGAAACTCAAGTCAATAAACATTTAGGTTCCTATTTTGGTTTGTTCCCAAAGGTACACGTGCTGGGAATTGTTCCCCACTGTAACATAGGTGTGTGGACCTTTAAGAGCTGGGACTTAGGAGGTGACTAGGCCATGACCATCCACAAGAAAGGAATTGATGCTTACAGAGTGGGTTATTCAGTCTCAAAGTGGGGTGGTCCTCACGAGAGAACACCGTCATGAGAGTAAGTCCCGCCCCGTCTCTTGCATCTTCCCATGACCTTCTCTCACCTACCCTCCTACTGTGATGCCAGCTACAATGTTGTCTTTATAAAGTATCTGGCCTTGGGTATTTTGTTGTAACAGAAAAATCCCATAGAGCTCCTGTCAGTACAATGGCTCTCCCTGCTTGCTGAGGGCAGCTCTCTCCTGCTTCACTTTCCCACCGTGGCTGCACAATGGGAAAAGCAGGAGGCCCCGTGGTCAGAACTGGTTCAGGTATTTCTCCCGTCTTTCTTCATTCTGAGAAACCTCCCCCGCTTCTCTGAGCCTCAGCTTGTAGGTGTATAAAATAGGATAGAACTACATGGTTTGTCTTTTCTAAGTGTCCATCCCCTACCTAATGGAAGCTGTTTCTGGAGACTCTGTAGATGACTCTTGAGGGCAAACTTCTAAAATCACTTGCATTCCTACAAGAACAGATTTTTTGTTTGTCTGTTTGTTTGTTTTTTTGTTGTTGTTGTTTTTGTTTTTGTTAACTGGAGATCAAACTCGGGACCTCACATTTGCAAGGCAGGCATGGTGCCACTGAGCTAAGTCCTCTGCCCAAAAACAGTTCTAAAACGATTCAAGTATAAGGAGCCCTGCAGGAGATATGCCAAAGAGGAAAGTACAAAGGCCAAATGAACATAAGAGCTGTGTCTGTGGATTGGAAAGCACTTTGTCAAGTCCTTAACAAGTAAGTACACCAGGAAGAAGACATTCTTGGGGTGTCATCTATCCCCTCCCTGTAGGAGTTGAGTCCCATTGAAGTATAACTAGACTAATCAATCTTAAAGTCATCCAAATCACAGGCCAAGAAAAAAATCAACCAAACCATTTGGGAAAAAAGAGTTGTCCTAAGACAGCAGCTCTTCATTAGACCAGTGACAGCTGATCTTCAGGTAGACACATAGAAGTCCACAGGGTTCTGGGAATGTGTAGGGTCTGCTGTCCCCAGCTCTGCCCAGTGATGCTCTATGGACAGCTGGTCTGCAAAGGGGAGTCAGGCACTTAGCAGAGGCTCCAGCCAGCCTTCTTTGCAGCTGCTTTCTCTTAGGGTTACTCCCTGTTATTTCCTGACTTGCCCCGACTCCCTGGGGCTAAGGGCTCTGCTCTGAGAGGTTTTACTCCACAACAGGAAGGTGCTCTCTGACTCCCTTCTGTCTGGCAGCTCATTTGAAATTTACTTCCTTCACCCAACAGGCTGAACCCCACCTTCCCACAAGACAGCCAGCTCTGCCACTGCCTTGACCCACTTCCCTGCAGGTAGACTTGCCCCTCAGCCCAGTGGAGGTAGGAGGGGTTCAACACAAACTCCCTTGATTTCAGACCTCAATTTCAGAGAGTTCCTTATTGCAGCTAAACCCCTCGCCTTAATCTTTTATCCCTCTCAACTTAATCCTCCTGGACCCTGCCCCTCTTGGTACCTGTCACCTGTCAAAGGAAAGTATTTGTTCTCCTTCTATTTGTCTTTTCACCCTGATTTGGTGTGTGGCCTTTTCCTTGTTATTAAATAACTAGGATATGTGTTTATTTTGCTCTGGCTGAAGAGTGTTACACACGTAACAAAACAATAAAAGCACCAAAGAGCACCTGGTACCTGTTCTGCCCAACTGTGCTTAACTATATTGCCTATGTATTTCAAGGAATGATAACCTCACGCAGATATAGCAGCAGCTGGCTCTTGACCCGTATCTCCCTTTATAAGCTTTTTTGGTGCTTGAAGACTACCAGGTTTCTTTGTAATTTCCATGAAACTCTGTGCATCTTTCCATATTTCCCTTCAGTTTACTCCAACACCCATGCATTTTATTAGAAAAGCTAGCACCTGAAAAGCCCTGTGAAATAAACCAGGTGGGGATTTAAATCTCTACTTTGCAGACAAAAAAAAGCACAATGCTCTGCAAATTCTGAAAGTTGAAAAATTAATCTCAGGAGAGAGTACTTGTTCATCTTGAGGTCAAGGAGCATTGTATTAATACCATATTGCTGGCAGGATCAGATCTGTGGATGGAATGCTGGGCATTTGCCTTGGCTTGAAAGCTGTTGGGAGAGAGAGCTCTGTTCTACTCTAAGAGAACTCTACACAGGACAGTTAACAGAGAAAGAAAGGAATTAACAGGCAAGGTCCCCCCAGGATGTACATCAAGTCAGATGTCCCAGCATCGAGTTGAATTTCATTTCTAGATGGTATGGTCCTGATATGGCCCAGACACTAGACTGAGAACAATCCTCAGGTGAACACAGTTACTTAGAATCATGCAGGAGCCAGGGGACATGGATGATATAGACTCGGGCTCCAACTCCAAGAGATCAAGAAATGGTTTAGGACCACCACCCCTCATCCCAGAAAAAGAGAATTTGTCACACACAAGAAAGAGTAAATATGATTCTGTGAAGATGACAGCATGCCTCTAAAACTTTCATCATGGTTTCAGTGAATTATATGGATGGATACATAGACTCAGCATAAAGGAGAGTAAAAACACATTGTAGAATTTAGGGGGCTGACTACGAGCAAAATTGTTCATTTTTAAATGCCCTGTCCCAAGTCCCATCACTTTTCCCTGATCGTGTGGATGGTAGTGACAGACTAAGGTCCAGAAGTTCCCAACATTAGACCTTTATTGGGTTAAAAAGTAGCCTGCGGCTAACTGCAACCTAAAGCACCTACAGTGTAACTAGAACAATCCTACAGGAATGAACGGGAGAATCACAGCAGGAAGACATGGTCTTTACCTCGTTGGTGACCAAGTCCTTATCAGAAAGGAGGAGCCCACTGCAAAACTTTTCTGTCTCAGCACAGAGAGCACGGACATGCCAAGGCCTTCATTTCAGTTGTCTGGCCGGCCCCACATTTCAGTTCCAGAGAGAATTTAAGCAGAATTTCTGATGATTGCAGTCCCCACTGCCTCCACCTGTACCAGGAATGAGCACTTTCAGTGCAGACCACACTGGAAGGGAGGGAAGCACCGAGAACTACACACAGGAAGTCTCCACACTGTGGACCCCTGCCACCTGTCCCCCAGTGCCACTCATGGATCTACTCCATTCAGCTCCCCAGCACACAGCAATGGCCTCCAGGCCTTGGGTCCATCAGTACCTGCCTCTCTGCACAGTCATGTCAGACCTGAGGGGCAATGCACTCCACAACCCCACATGGGTCTCCCAGAGGTGTCACTGAGATAGAGCAGGTGATACTGTGTATAGATGGTGTCGCAGGGACAGCAGCCGTGCAGGTCACCCTGGCCAGGTGGGCCTCACATTCTGTTTGTCCTCACAGAGCATGGTGCACTCAGCATAGGGGTCATGTAACTCAGTCATTAAAAACACAGGGTTTTACACAAACTCCAGGCTGGATTCCATTTGCATTTGACCAAATAGACAAGGGATGAATTTTCCCTTTCCTTGTCAACTACCCGCTCTCTACTAAACTATGCCAAAATACAACTGGAGAAGCTCAAATGAAAGAACGCAAAGGCATACAAAGCAAGGGATACATGAAATACTCTTCTTCCTCCCCCTGACCCCTTCCTTACTCTTACTGCACATGGTCTCTGCCTTTAGGGCCATCTGGCTATCGTCTTCTGACTGGGACATATACACTAGGGCAGGAATTGAAACTTTTTCTATAAAGGACAAAAGAGTAAATATTTTCAGTTTTCAGTTCTCCAGCTCAACAGCCCAGCTCCCATTGCAGCGTGAAAGTAACCATAGATGATATACAAACAAATGGGTGTGGCTGTGCTCCTATAAAATGTTATTGGCATAAACTGGCAGTGGGCCACATAGGCCCATGGGCTGTGGTTTGCCGATCCTGCATTAGATTATTGTCTTCCTCTTTAGCAAAACCTGCCTGCTCCCAGGCCCAGGTCTACTTTGTAAGCTTAGTGATAATAGGGTGCTCTCTTTGCTTTTCGGGTGCCACACATCCATTTACTAAGTCTTTCTGATTACTTACAGTCTGGCCCAAAGAAAAGGCTCCCATATTGACAATTCCAAGCATATAAGAGACTCAAAGGAGGCTCGAAACTGAGACCCTTTGAACATCTTTTCTCACCTGTACAGCATGACCTGGTCATCTTCCATGTGGCTGCTTTCCATCCCTTCTTCACCTACAATCTCCTGTAATAAATAAGTCACATTCTCCTTTAATGCCCCTCAAAGCTAAAACTACATCAAACATCTTACCAACAGCGGTAATGAATGCTTTGCTTTCAAATAACACATACATCCCATTACCCACACCACCAGCCCGAGCACCCCCAACCTTACTGTGGTCTTCCAGGAGTCACAGTACTAAGTAGTTGAACTGAACTCTGATCCCTGGGTCTTAAATAATAATTAAATTATGAGGAGGGAAGCAACCCAGAATACACAAAGTAGAATATCACCCTTCTACCCACCACCCTTTAATAAATCCAAAGACTTTCTTCTTAAACCTGTGTGTCAAAGGTACAAAAAGTAAGGGAGCAACAGTTGTCTATGGCAATGGGATGCCGGCTTGTTTGGGGGACAGCTTTGCAGCATTAATACGATGTCTTTGTACAACAAAGGAGAAAATAGTAGAAAGTGTTCTGAATAATTCAAGCAACAGCTGCCTCTGTGGTTTTGGAGCTGTGGTTCCCTTCTTAATAAAAAGGCATTCAGCCTATAGGAAAGGGGTCCTATAAATCACAGGAAGTTTCAAGAAGTCAACAAAAGGATTCCAGGCAGGAGGCAGCCAGAAAGAGGGAAATCTGATCTTCATCCATTTTATTAAGTTAACATTTTTCTACCAGCATTTGTCTTCTCCCATCTAAAATCCCTCCACTGACTTAAGGAGACACCAGCAAATCTGTGGTTGGCAACCCTAGAGTGGGTGGCCCATGCTTCTGCTTCCTGCTCAGACATCAGCTTCAAGACAAAATATAATTACTCCCAAATTAGCCACTCCTCATGAGCAATAAATTATAAATAAATTAGAGTTCACAGCCAGAGAATTTGAAACAACCTTGATATAGGCTTAGAAAACCACATGCACACACGCGCACACACACACACACACACACACACACACACACACACACCCCTCAGGCTACGATCTAAAAGCCCAGTCTGTCTTTTTACTCAATTTACGGTTGGTTTAATGGCAGTGCATGTGAAAAGATACCCCTACTGTCACAAGGAACTGTTCATGCCACCCTAATTGAGAGCATGGTCATCTGCAGCTTTATCCCTGCCTTGGAAGAAAGCAGGCTAATTGGGAGTTTTAATGTCCACTATTTGAACTCCTTGCATCCATGAAAATATATGGACACTATAACTCCTGAACTTCCTTTTGATTATTCTTAGAATAAGAGAATTCTCATACAATTCCGTGCACACACACACGTGGACTTTGGACATTGCTTAGAAACATGCAAAGACCCTATCCCTTTGTGGCACATATGCAGCAGTCTCACAGGGATTTGAAATGATTAAAAAAAAAATCAGAGGTTTGGGAACAGAGTCAACTTGCTTCACTTCAGTCCATCAAAGGGTTTGGGGGACATGGAATTCAACCACTAAAAGCTGGCTAGATTGTGAAGACAGTTGGACTGACTGCGTGGCTTTTTCCCTTTTGTGGCTTTGTGGGTTGTCACCTGGCTAATTAGAGGCTACAGCTAGAGATGGTCTGGCAAATACAAGTACAAACACAGGTGAGGTCCTCTACAGTCATTCTTTGCAAACAGCTGATATGTGGCAGCAGACTAGTTGCTCAAGGTCAGATGACAATTTCCGTGCAGCTTCACAGCCTTGAGACAGCCTGTCTGACCAGGAGAAGGGCCAAAGGCACTGAGCCATTCTCTGTTCTAGGGTTGGCTGTGAACTGGGCCAGGCAGGAGATGTAGACCTAGTAACTGTTCTGGGCTCCATAGGAGAGAATAATGCAATTGATTTTTAATTCACTACCTGCTTAACTCAACAAAAGAGGAAAACAAAGATGTTTTGAAGCCTGTAAGTGTGCCAACACAGGAATTGGCAAGCTACCACCTGAGTCCTGTTGCAGTAAAGTTTTATTGAAACCCGATTATGTCTATTCATTTCCATACTGCCCATGGCTACTTCAGCTCTGAATAGCTGTACATGACTCCATGGCCTCAAAAGTCTGAACTATTTGCTACCTGCACCTTTACCAAAAACCTTGCTAGCTCCTGCCCTAAGGAAAGATGTGGATACAATGCTGACAGTAGCTTAGTCCCCAAGGTAGTTTCTGTATAGTAATGTAAAAACTGATGTAAAACTTAGATTCACCCTACCTAACAATGGCAGTGCAGTGGTTGATGAAACATGATCAGTACGTAGTAGAGTAATACGCACCAATCAAAAGTTACATTTACGAATGTAATTCATGAATAGCAAACACAAAGACAATCTTTTCTCAAGTGAAAAATACAGACTATAAAATGTCTTATTTATTAATTCCAACAAAGCGAAAGAAGCTCCTTCCACAAAGAAAAACTCCAGATGAACATAGTACATGAAAACGTTCACGTTTGCCAAGTGGGAATTTAGATTTTTTTTTTCATTATACTTTCTGGATTTTAACAGTCATTTGCATAATAAATATAACTTTTAGGAGAAGAAAACTATTGTTTTACAAATAAAAATTAAATAAAGAAGCTTAAATAATGTGGTGGAAGAAATTGTTCTTGGGATGAAATAATTTTATTGTTATGCACCTGCAAAAGGAAAGAAGGGAGGAAGGGGAAGGAGAAGAGCAGGAAGGGAAGGTAGAAGGAGGGAGGGAAGAAAGGGCAGGAAAGGGAAAAGGAAAGAGGAATGGAAGTAAATGAAGGGAGGGAGAGGGAGGGACGGAGGGAGGGAGGGAGGGAGGGGTTCCAGGCAAAGGTCATATATAGTGCTCTATTTACTAAAGAGAGCATTTCAATTTCCAGAAGAGAAGAAATTCTTTCTGGCCAAGAGTTTGAAGGGGAATGGCTTCCATGTACATGAGCAGGCTATCAGGGATGACCAGAAGGTCTCTGAGCTCCCTGCCAGCATTCCTGAGATTAGAGAGATGTTCTCAGACCGGGGTGGCCAGAGATAGGTGAGGAACAGTGACCCTTCTCCAGGTTTTAGAAAAAAAATCAGATATCACCAGACCTCTTAGAACTAAACACACACACACACACACACACACACACACACACACACGACCTGGTGTGTATAACTACACTTACAGTATCAAAAACAACGCCAGTGTCTCCATTTGAATACCTTGCAGATGGTTTACTGTATTTGTCATTGTGCAGAGCCAGTTGCCTAACAGCAAATGGGAGCTGGGAAGAACTGACAAACTGAAGGGTTAACATTACACATTTTGCTGTTTTCCCACACTAGATGTGGAAGGTTGCATAATATGTGGCTAAGCAGACCCTTCCGTGGATATATATCATTTCCTTCTATTTATTCTTGCACAAAGCTCTGTGCAAGAAAGGGGAAGGTTATTAAACTGTACAAAATAACTTCAAATATAAAGGAAAGAAAAGAGAGAGATGAAGAAAACATCCTCTAAGGCGCATCAACTCTCTTGACTCCCTCCACTGTGAAGGTGAAGAACCCCACCGACACATCTCTAGGACAACACGAGAAATTCCATGAAGTGAGAACCCAAGCCCTTTTAGCTAAATTAAATTTGGCAATGAGTCCTCATTACTGCTAAAAGCAGAAAGTAGGACAAATTTAGGAACAGTCGTTTATCGCCTAGTTTCTACAGCCCTGGAGGAGAGATACTTTGAACTCTAAAAACAACTACCCAGAATGAAAAACAGAAAGAAGATGTGTCGAAAGCATTTAAACCACCAGTCACGGGGAACGTGCTGCTCCCTCTCAGAGATCTAGCAGAGAACGGGTCTCCCTGCTGCCAAGCTTCTTACAGAATAATCCTTTTACCAGCAAGTCAGCAAGCCTTCTGGTCTTGATTTAGATGAAAAGAGTAGCTGAGAACTCATCTCCAGTGAGTCCATGAGTTAGCAATTGACCAAGAAGTAACCTTGATCTAAAATAAAAACATACTTGCACCACAACTCTTTCATGATTGCAAAGAAGTATGCTAAGGAAGGGAGGGAGTTAGAGGCTGCTTCAAGAATGCAAAGTCCCATTCAAAGTCAAATTTCCTCTCTTCTGGAGCCGTAGGATGGATTTTCAAACAGTGGAAAATCTATGCTACTGGTTCATGTATTTACTATGCTATTCTTTTTATCATTATTTGCAAGTGTGCTGCTACTCTTTTTTGGAGTGGGGGTTTGAGACAGGTTCTCACTGTGCAGTTCAGGCTAGCCTTGAATTCACTGTGTTGCCCAGGCTAAATAAACTCATGGCGATCCTCCTGTTTCAGCCCCTCTACTGCTGGGACTACAGGTGTGTGTTACCACTCCCAGACCCTCCCTTTACTTATAAAAACTGTTACTGTAAAGCTGGATGGTATGGTATGCTGGCTGCAGCCTCCTGTGTCTCGTGCTTCTGTGTCTCTTGACTGAAGCATTTTCTTTTAGACTTGATTTAATCTCTTGTTGCTTTGCTCATTACGTCTCTTGGAGTAATAGCCTATCACATATACAGCTGTATTTACGTATACTCATTTACATATGCATCATATGTTTACATATGCACATTTATATATATTAATACACACATATATACATGCACAAACATATGGTCTCAGTGTGTGATGAGTACCCCATAGTATGTTTGCTCAAAGATGAGATCTCCTAATGATTCTTTTGTCAGAATGCATCTTTGTGCCCGTATTCAAAACAGACTATTTCTCTCTTAATTGTGGCAACTTTAGTTCACTATGGTGGCCATAATCTTTATTACCTCCTTTCGAAGGCTAACCCAAGTAAAAATAATATTCCTTAACATAAAAAACAGATGTTTTCTCAATCTTATATCAAATATGAACAAGTGGATCTTTATTTTGATTTACTTATAGTAAAAGCTCTTCAAGACAACCTGCTGATCCTTTGATTCTCCTCTCTTAGAAAATTTGTAGCATAGTCCGTTATTGTAATCATTATGTATTCTGTTCTATACTTAATTGCATGTACTAGTACTTTTACATAACTGGCAGTGCAGTGGGTTTATTGACACCCACATTA